GAGCCTGCAATCATTGAATGTGTTCCCTCCTCACAGTATGCCCTATTACTTCTGGTCTGTGTAGTAAAAAGTTGGTTTCAAAATTAAAACTAAGTTTCTCTCATGCAGCAATGCAGAACACAACAGTCAGGACAATGCAAATGATGCTGCTTATTTCAAAAGTTTAAAATGAATGGATTAAACATAATTAAATTTTCAGTTATAAATACATACAGACTTGTTTATATATTCCTGAAAGCATGCTAGACCTTTCACAAAATAAAGAAGTCACTCTCCTTGCTTCAAGGAGCTTAGTTTGTGACAATTAGACAGATGTAACTAGTGAGAGCAAAAATGTTAGGGACTGGGGGGGAAAGCAGGATGAGGATTACCAAAGTAAGGTTAATTGGCTACATAGATTTTTAGAGTTAGATGTCTGGATATTTCCATTCTGTATTTGCATTTATACACACAGGAAGTTAAGGATCAGGAGGTTGACAGGGATACTTTGTGCAGCAGAGCTATGAAGCAAAGCAAAATCAATTAATGATTAACAGATTTAAGACAGGTAACAATGAAGAGTCAGTTGTGTTGAGTTCTGGGATTTTTAGTGTGATATTGACATCAGAAGGACAGAGTGGATTTAGAAGAGTGCAGGTACAGTGAAGTACTCCTATTGGAGTAGCTGCTGTTGTTAGCCAATATTGTCTTTTGAAATTCCTCCCAGGATGGCTGTTGGTGTGGGCCATAGGTTGGTGGGGAATGTTGCTGCATCTAGTGTGCTCAGTTGGATTCCCCTGTCTCTGGGGTGAGGAGAAGTGAGCATCCAAACTCTTACCTTCCCACCAGTGCTGTGCATGGAGTGGTTGCTGCTGTAAACCATTCAGAGCTGTTGGCCTTGTAAATTCAATTCTGAATGGCAGCTGCTGCTGTATTTATAATGTACGCATATAGAGGTGGCATGTGTGTATACACACACTAGGTATTTTAAAGGGCTTGAATCAGTTACTTCAGTGACAAAATGTAAGGATACATGAAATGCACACACAACAAAAAGTTGTAAAATCAATATTAATAAAAGTGAATAAATAGACTGGGAAGATTTAAGTCCAAACAACTGTTTTAATTGAAACAGTACCTTGCTGTGTTTGCAACCCAGACACTGAAGCTTTGCACAAGGACACAAGAGCTGGAAATTCAAACTAGCTAATCTATTTGGTTGGGTATGCTGAGTGAACTACACAAAATAAACTGCATAAATAACATTAAAAAAATAATGTAGTCTTTTAAATCTTCAGGTTTTAGTAATGTAAGTGGTTCTCAGTAACACAGATGAAGAAACTTGGTATCTTTAAAAATATCATTTTGAATCTGATGTTGCTATTACAAACTGACATGTTCTCTGCACCTCTTTTTCTTGACTTCAGAAATATGTTTTGGAGAGATCAGGTGGGCATGGGTGGGAGGGAGGGAAGGACTTTGGTCATTTTAAGATCAGCAACAATTTAAAGGTGCACAGAGCAATTTTGCTGGCCTACACAATCCATTCCATATTAAATGTGAAGCTTGCTTAAACACATTAAATGTATTTGTTCAGGGCACCTACAGAAATGAGTGTAAAACTTTTTCTTTGTTTAACAGCCATAGTCTTTTAACGTACATGTGACACCTTATATATTTGGTTATAACTAACTGTAAAAGAGATGGAATGGCCAGATGCCACTTACTAACATTCCGTCCTGTACTGATGATGTCTTTTTAAGTGTGCGTTATGACACTGAATGTGTGCACTGCAATGGAGAACTCTACAATCCCTTAAGATAACTGTCAGTTTTAAAGCATATGTGGTTCTGCTAGTTCATGAAGTCCGTATTGAAAATATTTCCAATGTATTTAGGGCCACATTCTGTTCCAGTCAAGTCCTCTAGTTTTGAGATTGAGTCAACGTTGGATAGTCAATCCAGCAAACGTTGTGCAGACCAGTGGTATTGCTGTGTGCAGTTCATTTTGCTCATCTTACATTTAATTTGTATCCATTTGTGTCCACTTTTAATTATTCTTTTAAAATGTTATAACATCAGTCTAAAATACTGTGGCGCTCATGTAGGTAACAATATCATTTTGCCAGTCGACTTGGTTGACCTCTTACTGCACTTCCACCAAACCTATTCACATCTTGACAGTAGAGACCAAGAAAAGCTCCAGTAGGTATGATTGTCCATTTCTTTCTTTAGGTTCAGTAATCCATAAGAATTGATAATTAATTTGGTACATACTTTAGTGATCTTTCTAAAAATGTACTTTTTAATACGTGCACGGGACACTAGAGAGCCTAAGAAATTAGTGTAATTGCATCGTGTCCAGTCTCCTGGATATACAGTAATGTATTCCAAGAACATAGGCCTACGTTTTAAATATGAGTTTTCTATTCAAAATTATTATTTCTGAATTGTCTATTTCTGATTTTTTTCCTAATGTGATTAATTTGAATATTTCCCTTTTAACAGATAAGTCAGCATTCATACAATGAGGTTTCCTGGTATTCAGGTGAAGATTCTCCTATTGGCTCTGAATCTGACCTTTCAGAACGGTAAAATTATTTAATACAGAAGGTATTTCCTTTGTGCATAGTATAAATTGGTACTTTGAAGAGCAGTGTATTTTATATTGTTTGTAAAGTATTTACTAAATATTCTTATTAAAGGAATATTAAAATTATATTGTCTCAGTGTTTTAATTTCTCTTCTGGTTCCTGGGACTGGCATCTTGGGATATGAATATTTAGCATTCTTGAGGACTTCCTTTAAATCTAAGCAGCTTCCACTATTCAGTCTTTACTTGTTTGAATGATAACCTTGTAACTACAGTCTTGTTGTTTTCAGAGCCTTTGTAGCAAGTATTTGCCTATTTCATACCCATTTGATCATCTATTGTACGTATCTCTTAGTTTTTAATAGCAGATTTAAGAAACAGTATTGTTCTTCAGGACAGGCTGTGAAGGGTAGATGAGCTCTAACTACTTAAACGATTCAGGTTTTTTGTTGTTGTTAATTAACCTGTTGGACTTCTAAGAACCCAATTCTAACCTTTAATTCTGGTTTATCAATTCCATGTCAACTTTGGTCACTAATTCTGGCTTTGAATAGATCAGACTTGCCATCAGTCACCCAACTGAGAAGCTCCTACCCTGTGATTTGTTTTCATTCTGGTTTTAGGTTTAACCTAATTAATAAGGTTGTGAGCAGTCACTGTTTTCATTATGAATTGGCATTTCCCAATTTCCCTTGAAGACAGCTATGCTTATCTCTTAACGTACATCAAATAAGTCCGAATATTTAACATTTAGAGTACAGTGTGAGAATTCTTCTGGCATAAGACAGAATTAAGTTCTTGTAGATGATGTGATCCAAAGACAGTGCTTGAAAAGTATGTGTGTACATACAGATAACCATGTTTACAGAAGTTCAGCACCAAAAATGCAGCTTTGCTCATTTAGCCCTTAAGTAATAGAAGAAAGCAAACATATAATGGCTTTCTTTTCAGGGCAACAACCACCTTTTTGTTGTGTGTCTGTGCAGTGCTAGCACAATGGGGCCTGGATCCCTATTTGGGCTGTAGGTACTACTGCAGTATCAGTAGCAATAATATTGATTGCAAGAGGCATGTTATACAGAATGGACTTGTTTCCTATCCACATACAAGATATTAGGTAAAACTTATACTGAATATAAATAAAAGAATAATATCTCTAACTTTTCATTGAGTTAATCACTTAAGTTTTATTTTGGAACCAGCAGTGAAATGTATTCATTTTTCAACAAAAATGACCACACTTGCTCGTAATTTAGATGGTAGGGTTGGCACCTTATTAGCCAGTGGCACTGCAAAGTTATAACTTTTTATCACAAAATAGTGTTGTGGACTCGGGGTTTTATGAATCTGATGTGTGCTTATACCGGGAACGCGTTTACCCTCTTCTACAGAGCCTAGTGACCAAGAGGAACAGCCAAAGTGTCTGGTGAGTTCCTTTCGTGACCTTTTTTCCAGTCACTGCTGCTAGCCAATGGCATTGAACAGTGTGACAAATGCTGCGGCGTGGGCGAGCAGGTGGAGGAATGACACTAGCCTGCCTGGGGAGATACAGTGGTGCGGGGCACTTCAGTTTACACGTCCTATCGCTCTGTCCGCAGCGAGCCCCCGCGCCCTGCCGGCGGGCTGCCCGGGTGCCGCGCGGCCCGCAGGACTCCTTGGTCAGGGGCTGCTGCTCGCCCGAAAGGCGAGACGGTCAGCGCGGCGGGGTTCTTCCCCCCTCCCCACTCAAAACGTGCGTCATCAGCCTGCGCCAGGACCGGGCGGTCACGTGTCCCGTGTTTATCTCGGTTCGGCGGGTCGCGCGCGCGACCTCGTCGCTCTGGGCCGCGCGCACCTGCTGTTGCTGCTGCCGGCGGCGGCTCCCCGCTGGGAAGCGAGCGAGCGGCCCCACGGGGAGGGGCGCGGCTGGGAGACGGGACCCTGCCCCGCCAGGTGCCCGGAAGGGGAGCGGTGATGGGATTCCGGGGCTGGGGGAGCGGGAGGCGGGCGGGAGGGGGGAGCGGGGCGAGGGGAGCCGCGGGACACAACGCTTCCCGCACGGGCCCGTCCCGGTCCCCGTCCCGCTGGCACTGCCCGGGCTGAGCCGCACCGCAGGGGGTGGGCGCTCAGCTCCCCCCGCTCCCGAGTGAAGCCCTGAAGCTTCCTGCCCTCGCTGTGGGAGCGACGGACGAGGCTAAGGACGGCGCCCGTGCGAGGCTCCTGCATCCCGCGAGGGAGCGAGCCGCACCATGGGAAGAAGAGCTGCAAAATTGGGCAGACGCGGGGGAAAGTGGAGGTTAGGAGTTGCTCCGAGCAGGGGGGAGCTGCAGCAGTAAGGAGAGCCACGAGAAGGCAAACCAAAGGGGAGTGGAGGGTGCCGGATACACAGGGGCTAAAGAAATGTAGCAGTTGATTTTTTTCATAGATGGGGGAGATATACAACAAAGCAATTTTTTTTAAATCAGCTACTACGTGTATGCGTGCGTGGATGTTAGTTGATCTTACGGTGTATATTGTGATCTATGTTCAATTATGTATGTGCTCCTCAGAGAGGTGCTGAATCCTTGTTTAAAGTCGATAGGAGATAGAGGTGCTCGGCAGCTCTCTGGTCAGGCTCCACAAGAACCTCGGTTCTCGTTGAGCCTGAACTGTGTGTAAGATGATTTAATTGGTATATTTGGTCCTGTGTATGTGTGTAAATATTGCAGTGTTTGAAATCAGTGTTTACAGCGATGACTTAGAACACTGACATCTGCATAATTGCCATGAACTGCATTTTTACTATTATTTCTCTTTATTTGTAAGCTTACAATGTCATTACCTGCAAAGAGATGTGGTAGACCCCCTGTACTGTCCTGCTTGGAAAAGAAAAAGAGGAAGCAAAGTCTGGATAGAAGAAGAGGGAAAACAAGAATCTATGTGGGAAATCATATTGATAGATGGTTGACGCTTAAGGAAAAATTGGATTTCAGAAATGATGCAGAAGTTGCAGGATTTTTACTAGATTTGTAAGTAAAATATCACCACATCTTATTACAATTAAATGAACCAAAGACTATTCTCAAAGTTAATTTAATACCAAATATATTTTTGTAATACAGATATGACAACTATGACCCATTGTCTAAAGCATCAATATGTTCCCTGCCTGAAGATGTGAGAAGAATTACAGTGAAAGGGGAAAGAGGGTTGCCAGATGACACTTCTTTAATAGCAGCGGATGGAACGTTAGTATCATTCTCTGTTTTTACATGATTGGTATAAACAAAATTTAATTTGTGCTTAAAAGATCACAGGAAAGTCTTTTTAATTACAGTTCAGAGAGTTTATGTACAGAAAAATTGGCAGCCCATTTTAATAAAATTGGAAACCTCAGAATGTGCACAAAAGAGGTGCTGGACTTCCCATTATCTATAGATTTTAGAACTTTTAATGATATCTATAGAATTTTAATGATATTTCAAAGTTAAATATATTCCTTCAGAATGCTTGAAGAGAATAAATGTAGAAGTAAGCAATATTAATTAATACGCATATTTCTGTGCTACAGGTATGACAATGATGACCAGTTGTCTAAAGAATCTACTTGTTCTGGACCCGAAGATGTAAGAATCATAACTGTGAAAGAAGAGAGGGATTTGCCTGATGACTGTTCAACTGAGACTGATGACACGTTAGTGACACTCTTACTTTTGCATGTTTTATATCTGAATATATTATTTTGCATCAGTTTATTATCACTTTTAATTTTGCTTATTAGAAACCCATACCATTCATGCTCTTATCTCTTATTTAAAAACAAATTGAATGTTTTTGGATGGTCCAGATGAGGGGAAAACCTGAAGTACGTTGTGGGAAAGTTGAAAACCTCAAGGGGCACACACAGCAAACCTGCATCTCTGTTTGCTGCCTTCCATAATTGTATGTAAAGCTCACTGACATAACAAGAAAATATAGTGTCTCAGGTATTTTACAGTGAAATTGTGAGTAAATTTTGATACTTGTAGCAGAATGCAGCCTGCAGACTAATGCAGTTATTGTGTGTGCAGTTAAATTTGCTCAAAAGACAAATGTTTCATTGTCGCCTGTTTTGGAATGATATTACATACAAAGTGACATGTTAACCTATCTAAAATAGTGCTGTGTTCTTCGAGGCAACCACACCATCAGTCGACTCTACTGATTTCTTTTACTGCAATACCAACAGTAACTGAGGCATTCACAGTTGAGATCAAAGGAGCCTCAAATAGGTATGCTTGTCCATTACTCTTTCTTTAGGTTTCAATTATCCACAACAGCGTTACTGAATACTTTAATTTGGTCCATATTTTAGTTACCTAACTTTCTTTAAAAATGTATTTTTAATGTGTGCAGGGGACACTGAGAGCCTAGGACATTACAATGGCATTGCATGGTGTGTCCAAACCCCTCGCTAATATGGTGAAGTACGTAAGGCATGAAGCATGTGTTTGCATGAATCTTAATTTCCACTATTCTTTTTTGTAATTTTTTTAACTTTTCCTACTTTGATTTTGACAGATTAACTAACTGGAGTTTCTGAAAGTGAGTCCTCTTGTGATTCAGAAGAATGTTTGGAAAAATGGAGTGAATTGCAAAATCAGTGAAGTGGATAAATTCAAGTACATTCAAGTTGGCATCTTATTCTGACAACAGAACTTCAGTTTGCTTTAGAAAGCAGCAAGGATCTAAGATTGACTTTGTGAGATTGATATATCATGGGTAAGTGAAACTTTCTATGGAATACTTGTTTTATGGCCTTTTAGTATGTCAGAAATATTGTACAAATTGGTTGATCATCATTAAAATTTTCTTATAGCCTAGTATTAGGTAGGTATACAGTACTTTGGAACAATCTTATAATCTTCATCTATATAAAGATTAATATATGAATTAATATTACTCCAGTGCTTTGAAATGGAAAATGCTGGACAAATGATTGTTAATAAACAGGCCAGGTCACTAGGCATATGCATGCTCAAAGCAAAGAAATGTTAGCTATGTTTAAGAACTAGGAAAGTTAGAAATATAGGTGAAGTCTCTCATTTATGGAACAAGAAGTATTTTAGGTAATTACAAACTACCTAAGAATATTTATTTAATTGGATCACTTGAATGGCTGACCATGGATGTTTTTTGTAGAAAAATACTATCTTTATATCTTAGGTACATATATAGCTCTCATTATTTTAGTATCTGATCGCCTCACAATCTTTAATATATGTTTCCTCACAACTTGCCTGTGAGGTGGGCAGTACTGTTATCCTATATTACAGATGCGTGAAACTGAGGCACGGGGAGACCAAGTGAGTTGCCCAGAGAAACACAGTACATCTATGGTAGAACAAGGGATTGAACCTAGATCTCCCAAGTCTGAGGCTAGCATCCTAACCAATAAAGCAGTGATATCTTAGATGGATATGAGAGCTATTAAGATGTTTCTCTGGCAGCCTCATAGAGGAGAATTCTGTTCACCTTTTGAAAAATGTGATGATGGATATTTTAATGGACAAAGAATATTGGCACTGGCAATCTTTTCTCTGGTTTGAAAGGTCTGAGAATGTACTTCCTAGTGAAGGGTGGGTAGGCAGGCAAGTATTTCCTGCTTCTCTGGGAGTGTAATGCCCTGTTGAGTTTCCTGTCAGCCTTTGAATATGTAGGATATATTTTCATTATATGCAGGTATGAGTGTGGGGTAATTTTAATGTAAAGCAGTATCCATATAGTGAGTTCTCATTGTGGGTGCTTAACTACACCATAATACTAGTTTATTTAACAGTATTACAGCAGTTTGTCTTCCAAGCACTCTAATTAGTTAATTTTGGAAGCAAACTATTTGACCACTACCTTTCAGAGATCCCGGGGGTAGCTCTGCAGCTCATAGGCCTTCTCAGCAACTTTAATGATTTTTTTTTTCTGTCTTGCTTTTGGAATCCCATCCATCCGACTTGATTTTAGCTTTTGGGGTGGGGTCTGAGTAATTGGGGGACTATTTTGGAGGAAGGACACTGTGTGAGGGAGTGGAACATTTGGGTTTAAAAGTGCTTGTCAGGCAAAGTAGCTGTTGGTCATTAATGGTAGCAATGCTTCTGCTACTGGAGGCTGAGAAAAGTTAAAGCAGGAATAGGGAAGAAGAGGTTCCAGTGTCTGAAAGGCTGCTTTGAGCAATAATGTATTACAGTGCTGCAGTTGAACACTTTCCCCTCGGTTGCTGGTTCTTTTCGAGCATGTATCCTCTGATCATTCTCAGTCTTAGAATTTTGGAATGCCAGCCATGTGACCACATTGGTTGCTTTCAAATCCATCTTTATAGCTCAATTACATTGAGTATAGGGCTATCCCAGTAAGTTTTAAGAAGCCATTTATTCTTCCTATTTGACACATCCTCTCAAAGAGGAGAGGAAGAAGATGGCCCTCCTGAGATAAAAGGGCTGTTTTTTTTCTGGGACTTAATCCTGGAACATAATGTTAAGTGGCTGTATATATCCAGACCAAATACCTTTTGTCCTCATGTTATACAGAGGTTTTTTTGCCTGAGCAATACTACAAATTAACAATCAGTTTGTTCAGTAATCCTGTTCCCACCAATGTCATAGTTATTGGTTTGGGTAAAAGCATATCTGTGAGATAAATTGGTGGTGCTCATTGGTACTGCTCATAGAGTAACATACTAATACTAAGCTATGTTTCTGGGTCCAGTTAATCCTGTCCATGCTGAAGTGGTTCTGGCAACAACTATTTAAATGGTTATTCCTAGACAATTTCCCTGACAGTTGTGGATTTTTTTTTCTGATAAACCACTCTCTCTATAGAATCCTCCTTCCCCAAGTAGTTTGTCTTTTTTTTTTTTTTTTTTGGAGGGCCAGGAAATTTCTGTCCAACTTCTTCAGTGAAATATGGTGACCACCACCATGTTTAAACAAAGTTCAGATCTTGGCAAACCAGCCAGTAGCCTACTAAGCTGGAGACTTAGTCTCCAACAGTGTGTGGGGAGGGGGATGCATTGCAGCTTCCTTGAAGTTCCAGTTATATTATTCCACCTTCATGAGGTTAAAATCTTTAGAATCAACACTCTGTTGAGATGAATGGAAATGGTTCCTATCACTCTTAGGGACATATTACACCCTACTCTGCAGCTATAGAGGACTCTTTTTGGCTCTGCCTACACTGAGGATTTTCTGAAATTCTCCCATCCTTCTCTGGGCAGTGTTAAATGATGTGATTAAAAATGCTCATAACCAGTCTGGAGTGATGGTGGGAGAATTTCTGAGAATCCTCAAAGTAAATAAGATCCACTAGCGGAAACACTGTAGTTCAACCTTGCGGGGGATGGGACAGGATTTTGGGGAGCCTGTATGAGAAATGAGCACCTCTTGGAACAGTGGGTATTTGGATAAGGTGCTGATGGATCTAGGTAACAGTGCGTCACTTCCACTCACACAGTATAGCAAATGATGTGGAGGAGGCTATTTTGTGGCTGTACAAACATCCACATGGTATTTCTGCTGCTGTACAGTGGCCTTGGGAATATGAAGGAAAAGAATGACTGTCAGCCCTAGAGAAATTCCCAATATTGGACCTGGCTACTCTGGCTGAGTGCAGAACTAGGATTTGAACTGAAGTCAGTTCACATCTCTAATCGTTTTGGATAGATTCAGTAAGACAACATAGCACTGGTTCAGATATGGAGGGGTATCTTTGCATCTTTAAAGGCTAGAAACTTTTTTTTTTTAAAGGCTTAAATTATGGAGAAAATTGATAAGATGCCCAGGTCACCAGGGAAAATTTCCTGATCACCACTGGCAAGTGGGTTATTTTTCAAGCCCTGGCAGTTTTTGCTAGCACACTTTCAGCTGAAGTGTAGTCAGTACCAAACACAGAAATTACGACTTGAAGTAAAATGAGCCCTGATGTATTCAGTTTCCTTTTTTCAGGCTATTTTATTAATATTTTTGCCTTGGAAAATGTTTGTAAATTGTATTTTCTATTACTATCATTTTTAAGTGAATGTGTAACTGTTTTTGTCCTTAGAAAAATAAGATGGGGTATTTAGTGTAAAATACAACAGTCATTGAGTTATTTTGATTGTAACAATATATGTTAAATTGTATTGAACCATAGCGAGAAGAAATATTGTGAAAGTGTAGAATACCAGTATGGCAAAAAGTATGTATTGCACATGCAAAAATGCAAATGAGTCATTACCAATGTAAATAGTTTAACATAATCCAAAAATAATTGGAAACAAATAATTCATGTAAAATTCCACTAACAAGTACTTGTATTAATATAACTTCAGTGAAAATGAAACTATATTTGTTATTTAGGTTTCTGAAGATCACAAAAAAAGCACCTTAATGATCATTGTCACATTACTTTTCAGGCTGGCCAACAAGAAGAATATCAAGCGTTTACATAATGGTGCTGAGACATTTTTGATCCCTTCTGGTTTTGCTGTGAGGATGTTATTTATTATGGAGAACTTATTGTAAGTTGTAGTATAAAATTCCATGTTAATTGTCAAGCAACAAATTAAAATTCATTAACTGAAACTTCATTGTGGTATGTTAACATTAATAAAGAGTGTGGAGTGTACTATTTCATTATGGAAATCCATAATGAAAACTGCATCAGGGTCAGACATGGCTCTTTAAT